TGCCTATATGTTCTAGAAGGAGAAGCACGTTTACGTGTTCTTCAAGCTCGTCACGACTTTCTAGCAGCACGATATTTTGGATATAATAAGACTTTGGAACTGATATCTAGGGATTTTTGGTGGCCTCAAATGAAGAAAGTAGTCAAAGATTTTGTACAATCATGTGATATTTGCTCAAGATCAAGAACTACTCGTCATCGATCTTTTGGACTTCTTCAGCCATTATCCATTCTAGAACAACCATGGTCTCCTATTTCTATGGACTTCATCATGGATCTTCTAATCTCAGGTTCTTATGATTCTATATTTGTGATAGTAGATCATTTTACCAAGATGGCACATTTTGTACCATGTACAAAATCTATTACAGTTGAAGAAACAGCTAAGCTCTTTTTTGACAATATTTATCGCTATCATGGATTACCCAAGGATATTATATCAGATAGGAGAACTCAATTTATATCAAGATTTTGGCAGACTCTTTTCAAGATTCTAAAAGTGGATATAAAACTATCTTCAGCATTCCATCCTCAAACTGATGGACAAACGGAGCGTGTTAATCAAGTTTTGGAGCAATATTTAAGATGTACCATCAACTACCAATAACATGATTGGACAACTCTTTTGCCATTGACAGAGTTTGCTTACAATAACACAGTACATTCTTCTACAAGACAAACAACTTGCTTTGTTAATTATGGTTATCATCCACGATTTGATACTTTTGACTTTTCAAAAGTTGATAATCCTGTTGCGAAAGATTTGGCGATTCATTTATCAGAGCTACATGCAACGATGAAGGCGGAGTTTAAAGAGGCTCAAGAACAACAAAATGTCAATGCGGATGTCTATCAAAAAGAACAACCACCATTCCTCTTGGGTGATAAGGTATGGCAACTTCGTCACAATATGAAGACCACTCGTCCTTGTGACAAGTTGGACTATCGAAAGTTGGGATCATTTTCCATTTCTGCACAAATCAATCCAGTTACATATCGTTTACATCTACCGGAGTCAATGAAAATCTATCCAGTATTCCACGTGTCTCTTCTTGAACCATACAAGATAGTGGACATACCAAGAAGACGACAAGCTCCACCTCCTCCTATAGAAGTGAACAATAATGAAGAGTTTGAAGTAGAAGAAGTCTTAGATTCAAGGCGGCATCAAAATAAATTGGAATATTTTGTCCATTAGCACGAATATGATATTAGTGAATGCACATGGGAGCTAATAAAGAATCTTGCAAATGCAACAAAGGTGGTGGAGGCTTTTCATCGATGACATCCATCAAAATCAAGATGAAAACCTTCTTTATAAAAGAAACAACATCTAGGTAAGATAACATTCTACTTTCAATCCTTGTTTGTAACTTCTTTGTAGTTGTGACGCTCAAGAGATGGAGAACCAACAACCAGCAGATTCGACTCAAGAACCTTCATTTGCTGACCTACCGAACGAGACATTACGATTGTCACAACCTTCAAGACGACACAATCAAGATGAAGATCTTCAAGAATGACATGTTCTTCCTCGAATAAATGGTGAGATACAACGCGTTTGGTATCACGATTTGGGAAGGGACTTCCGATGTTTGGTGATTTTGCTAGAGGTAGAAACAACTCCTGATGGTGTTCCAAATATTCTATTTGAAGGAAGTTATGAAGGCCTCAACAATGATCAAATAATTGGGTGGTCTTCCCGCCCTGGTATGGGACACTACCAATGGTTGAGAGGCCCTATCAATCTTCTTCAAAGAGAACAAAGATCAGAGTATGTGGCGAATATAATTTGTTGCATCATAGATTTCCTCAACATATGATGACCGCTCCTCGTGGAACTCGTCCCTAGAAAGGAGGATAATGTCACGGACATATTCATATAAGCTAGTAATTACATATACAAGTAGGTAAAAGTAAGTTAATTATATAGTATTTAATATGGAAGCTTCTTAGAAGCTTTATAGATGCTGCTTTGACTTCATAGGTATCTTTAATTGACTTTTTGGATTAGAAACGTGGTCAACAAGTTGGCCATGTGCCACACATATTATTAGCTTGAAGATCAAGCTAACTATATGGCATACACGTAGATAGGCAAAAAAAAATAATAACAGAAAAAAGTTATAGTAGTACAATAAACTTAATTTGAGAATAAAATAGATTTTAAAAAATCCCAATAAAAATAAATGCATAATAAAAATAAAAATAGATGAAGAAATCGAAATATAAATTAAAATAAAATTATCTTTAAAATTAAAAGGATTGAATATTTTAAAAAGAACAAATTTTGTTGCAATCTTGCAATCAAAATTATGTGCATTAATTGCAAAGGAATTTTTTCTAAACCTACTTATTTTTGTCACTTACTTGTAAGAATAGAATTAATTTTTAATTATCGAATTTTATTAAATTAGACTAAAAACTACATCATAAGCTGTGTATGAATTAGAATTAATTTGCTAGTATATTGAATTATTAGATTATATTGTAGTTTTTTAAGTCTTGTAATATATGTTAATTATGTATTATAAATAATTATATATTTGATTAATTTATTATATTTCTTTTTAAAAAGATCTTATTGATATACTAGATATTTAAAATAATTATTTTTATTTTCATTTTTTTATAATAATATCTCATTTGGCAATTGCTATTAGATATATCAAGTATTACAAATTAGAGGATTTGATTTATAGCAATAGAATCGAGTTGGTATGTAAGAAGCAATATTAAGAAAGGAAGAATATCAAGTTAGGTGAGATTAATTTAGAAAGATAAAATTATATATATATATATATATATAGGTATATAATATTAAAAAAATCAATAATACAAAGACAAATAATTAAGAATATATATATATATATATATATTGGATTAAAAACAAGAATAGATGCTAAAATGCAAAGAAGACAATATTTAGATGGCTCATGCTACAAATACATCCTAATTTGCTATATGTACACCTATTATATATATATATATATATATATATATATCCAAGGCCTCTGATTGGCTAATCCAAATCCCTTTTTTCTTGTCCTAGCATGCATCCCGACCTCTTCCATCTCTTCTTTGTTGCTATGAGGGTCTTAATCTCGTCTTTTTTCTCTTTCTTGACCTAGCATGGGTCCTGGTCCCCTTCTCTCTTTCTTCCTTGCATTAGTGCGAGTCTTGGACCTCCTTCCCTTATTCCTTGCCTCGTCATAGATTCCAAACCTCCTTCCTCTCTTCCTTGAAGGTCTTGGTCTCTTTCTCCCCTTATTCCTTATCTCTACAGCATTACCCACAACATACTTGTATGTATAGATATAATGGGTGTTTGTTTAGACACAATAATGGATGTGCTTGTAGCTTGAGTATATTTAGATAGATCCAAAATTTGTGCTCATAGGGAGTAAGATCCATTCATTTATTTCTAAACTATGTTTTTTTATCTAGATCAAACATGGCTGTGGTTTTACCAAGATAAACATTGGAGTTCCTTCTCTATAGAAGACATTGTTGATATTTCCTGCAACTATTGAACCCTTGTACTGCACACTGCATCAACCCTTCGACCAAGTTTTCATATATTAATGGTGATTTCTCAAATCTGTGCACGCAAACAGGTTTGAAAGCGGCATCGAAGTTGGATAAGTTGGATAAGTTGGATATCTGTGCCGCCGGACGCCATCTCAACGTCACGTTGGGGCGTGGACACACGAAACTCGATCCAACTTTCAGACATAACTGCAAAAGCATAGCTTGGCAAAAACGATGACAGTATGATGCCATGGATTGGTCGATCACGTGGACCATTGTACATTTGTGTTATCTCCATCTTTGTGCTTACATGGTCTTGAGAGCATTGCAGTTTCCTTTCAGTATAGAAAGAGTTGCTGAGGGAAACCCCACTCTGGGTAGCTCGCAATGGATCTCAAGAGTTCGCAACCTTGCAGCCATTGGTTACAGCACCAAGCTGGAGGCATTCCTTCAACTTCGGCAATTCTGGTGACTGCGGTTGCAACGATTGCGGTGCTGTATGTTGCGATGGTGTATCAGAGCTGAAAGAAACTTCCTCCTGGTCCTTGGCCGTGGCCCATCGTTGGAAACTTGCCACTCTTGCTCGGGTCCCAAAAGCCCAAATCTCTGCGGAAATTGACCCTCGAGTATGGAGGCCTCATGCATTTCCAACTAGGTACGTCTGCGTTTGGTTGAGAGGGGCAAATTTTCTCACGCACTGGCTAGGAATTGCTTGCGTTTGTCATGTGCGATTGATTCATGGCGACTTCGAACAGCTGTAACACTGACGCCAAGATTGAGAGTGCAAGCAGGCCAAAAGCCATGTCTGGTAGTTTTGACAGCTTCGGTGGCCAAGGAGATTTCCGCAAGCACGATGCCACTTTCGCATCGCGACCACCGTGCCGTGTCTTCAACATTCTTTCAGAAGGTACTTACAGAAACATGGGCTACGCACCTTGTGGACCTTTCTGGCACCGTCTTAAACGAATTGTCACCACGCAGTTGTTCTCCCCAGCTGTGTATGCTTCACATGAGCCGATCAGAAGAAAGGAAATTCACTACATGTTGAAAGTTCTCGTGGAGGACTCCCACAAGGGCAAGCCCATCTATCTCAAGAGCTAGCTCATTTCAGTGACAGCCAACATTATGACCATGATGCTCTCTAACAGAAGGATCTTTGAAATAGGCGCTGACGACGACGAATAGAAGATGCAGTTAGAGGAGCTCATGTACCGCACCTTTGACTCATTCGCAAGTATAATAATCAGCGACTATGTTCCTTACTTGAGCTTCGTCACAAAGTTGCAAGGTTGGGTGTCAAGGATTCAGGAAGTCCGGAGAGTCGCTCATTGGCAACATCTTTCTAGATGACAGAGACATAGTATCCCTCGTTGTGGTGAGAACCTCTCTGTCCCACCTGATGTCAAAGATATCAATCGCGCCGCTTAAACACAAGCAAGAAGTTGGTGTGTAGGTTTTTATCAGTGGTAACAACAATGACCACTGGATATGCTTCAGGGCTTGCTGAATGCGGGAACAGATGCGAGCGCCAACACCGTAGAATGGGCGATGGCGGAGCTAATGGCGAATCCCGACATCAGGAAGAAAGCCCAAGCAGAGCTGGATGCGGTCGTGCAAGACCGCCTGGTCCAAGAATCGGACATCCCCAACCTTCCCTTTCTGCAAGCCATCGTGAAGGAGAATTACAGAATGCATCCGTCCGCGCCACTCTCTGTTCGCCATGAATCACACGAGCCGTGCGTGATCTCGGGGTGCGAGTTTCCGGCCCTCACAGAACTGATCATGAATATCTTCGCCATCCATCGCGACCCCAGCGTGTACGAGAATCCAGACAAGTTCGACCCCACCAGGTTTGTGAGGAGTCCAGAGGTGGATCCAGTGGCGGGGAACGACTTCTACCAACTGATGCGGTTCGGCGCAGGGCGACGAATGTGTCCGGGGCAACAACTGGGCAACACGATGGTGACGTCGATGTTGGCGAATCTACTGCAATGCTTCGAGTGGGAGACGGCGACGAGTGAGAGAGAGAGCGGAGGCGGAGGAGGCGACGAGGTGGGGGTGGATATAGCGAACCACTACAGCTTCATAAACTACCGCCAGAAGCCCTTGTACTTGCTCACCAAGCCCCCACGCCTTGCGTCTCTGCTCCAGCCAACGTTAGCCATAATTCTGTTTCTGTCAACACCGCAACAAATTTTATTTTCTGATGGGTTTACTTCCTCCCTTCTCTCTCTCTTTCTTTCTTATCTTGGTATCGTTGTGGTGGTGGTAACAGTGGGAAGGATATAATTAAGTATTTACAATACATGTACAATTTTCATTGTCCATGTTGGGTGTTTCTTGTATTATAAGTGGTTTCAAATATTCAATTTTTATTTTTTTTCCACTTTTTATTGAATTATTGATCAATAATAAAAAAAATCCATAAAACTAACATTATATTTAGGTGCGATTATGAGATATTTTAAACATAACTTAAGTAGTCAATTATAGCATTTAATTACAAAATTACTTTTTAAACTTAATCATTAAAGATAGATAGAAGATTTATATCTTGTTGTGATCTATAAAATAAAATTTATACTTACTTGATATTATTGATGGATAATTTAACGATATTGATTATTTCCTAATCATTAATTTAATTCATTTAATTTATTTTGTAATTTCTAACTTTTGACGTATAATATAAAATAGTTATACATCAAAATGTATTACGAATGAATTTAAGATATTTAACATTAGATTTTAATATTTTAAAATAATAAGAATAAGAAGTAATCAAGTGCTTAAACTATTATTATGATGAAGTACTTGAAACGCCTAGATCGGATAGCTCTGATATCAGAGCTTAATAATAAGTTGTACTTAGTTTACAAATCTCCAAAGTATGAATTCAACACTATCAAACTTCTTAAAGAGAGCAACTCTTGGTTCTTTAATAAGACTTGATTGTATCTCATAATGATTTGAAATAAAACTAGTCACTTGAGATAGTAATTGTTTTGTATACATTCTTACTATATATATATATATATATATGAATATATACTAATTATTTTACATAAATTTTGTTGTGGTAAAACATATAATAAATTTTTAATTTTTGAATAATAAATATGAGGAGTTATTAAGCCATACCCCCCCTTTGCCACCTCATAATTCATTCTGGACCCATTCCCTATTCTTGACTCCATTCCCAGCTTGATCTCTCCTATCTCCACGTTGTCCCAACCCCACCCCTGTCCCCACCTCACCTTGTCCCCGTCTTAAGTTTTGAGTTTTTTGAACAAATAAAATAATGAATAAATTGTGCAATATACCTAAAAGATTATTGACACACATATCCTCCTAATTAAATCACAATTTTTCTAGTTTGAATATTCAAAATTTATATATAATACTAATTCAGAAATAAATATCAATTATCTAATTTCTTTTGTTCTTTTTTTTAAATACAATTGCATGAGTTTTTTTTAGAGTTTCTTCAACAAAATTGAGAAAAGTAATAAACATAAGTTACAATAATATAGTAGTTACAAGCAACATTTCAAAATTTGATTTAGAAATTTTGTTTAAAAATATTAAAATATAGATTTTTTCTTGAAATTAAACACACTATTAATTTTATAAAGATGAAATTAATATTATTATCATTATTTCTAACTCTATTATCTTACCATTTTTTTAAAACGTCAAAACTTCTTTAATATAGCTTTAAACTTTGGTAAATAATATATATATATTAATTTTCAACTAAAGATGTAAAATATTTTGATTGGTTTTGGTGCCATATCAGATACCAAAACATTTTTAATAAACCCTAAAGTGAAGCAAACATGCCAAGCAGAAATGCTTATGTTTGCAAAGGAATGTGGTGAACTGGTGAGCTTGTTTTGCCGCGCACATTCCCACAGCAGAGCATGCGAGGACCCTGAATTCGAAACCTCAAATGCGTGCAGTTTTTGGAACCGTGCATCTGCGTCACTGTTCTGGTTTGCTCCGCAAAGTTGTAACTGCTTCCACTCTCACGACAATATTCAACCACGCTGAGTTGCAATGGGGAAACGTTACGGTACCCCGAGGAAAGAATTCGAGGTTTGTTGGAGTATTGGACATCTTGGGAAGTGGCCACTGCAGTTGCACATGGACAAAGATCGTTCGGCATTTAGGTTCGTTACGTGGAATTGCATCATGTGCATCGATCAAGGGTTGTGGCAATGCCCGAGATGAGGCAGTGCTTTGAAGCTCGTAGAGGGAGTTGCTTTCCGAGCAGCTGCCATGGTGGAAGAAGACTGCATGATTGGCGCTGATGAATAGGTGTTGATCCTGAGCAGCTTGTCTGTGATGATCATCTAATGTCTCTGATGCGATCGTTATACAGGAGAAGGTAATTTCCAGCGGTAGCCCTTTGGTAGGAGATGAGCAATTCTTCATTCATGGTTTCCAAATGTTTAGAGGCGAGCCATTGAATTTAAGTTGTAGATTCCGTCAGTATTTTTGTGCAGTTTCAGGGACGAGGTGTTAGAGTTTGCTTGGCAAAGTCAACTGCTGCAGGTTTGTTTTTGATTTCCAAACAGCAGGAGACAGTGATCCAGTGCCTGTCGCACGTCTGTGTACAAGTTTCTATTTGATTTACTCCTATCATCGTTTGCCTCTTCAGTATACATCTGTTGCCTGACTGCATTCCAATGCTCACATGCAGGCCATAGTCCTCATAATAGGTCTATATTGGTTAAAGCTTCATGAGATTACAGCGAGGTGGACGTGCGATTGCAAATGTGAAAGGGACAGAGTCGATAGGTAGAGTGAATCGAAAATGGCGCAAATCTCAGAATCCGATGAAGACTGGGACAATGTGGACGACTGGGGTGGCGACGCATCTCTCATCGAGGGAGTGGTTGCGCCTGCGCTTCGGGAAACTGCGATCTCGCCTACTACGAGCTGGGACGAAGATGATGAGCCATGGCCCCCCGTCCAATCGCGAGGCATGGGCCAGCCAAGAATTGCAGCACCTGGCGTGAGGTGGGATGAATCAGTAGCTGGTAGTGAGGATGTGCGTCCGGAAATTTCAGCTAGCCTGCCGCCTTCTCCAATGGAGGGGGTTCTATCGCCCGCCATTGCCGACCGTCAAGTAAATGAGACATTTGCATGGGCCCCGAACAATACATGGGAGCGAGGGGAAGCTCCAACGAGAGGCTTGGGTCGGCCAATGTCAGAGGTCGAGCGCCTTGAGGAGCTTCGGCGGGGTGAGCCTGATCGACATGGAGAGATAATGACGGCGACACGTCCTAGGGAAGAGTTGGCTGATGATACCCGGGGATTGCTAATTCAGGATCAAGATCATATGCGGAGAGCTTCGTCGCCACCTGTTGAAGGCGTTTTGTCCTCACGGGCTGCAGCAGAAGAAGAGATTGCGTCAACGTTCAATCTCGGAGAATATACCTTACAGGGAGGACCGGAAGGAAGCGCAGATCGAGGAATTGGCCAGCCAAGAGGAGAGCAGGAGCGGCAGGAGTTACTCAGACAGCAGGATGAAGAGCTGGATGACGGCTGGGCAAGCTCACATGGAATTGACATCGAGGAGATGCGTCGCCAGCTTCCCGATGCCGATGGCGTCATCGCAGAAGGTCCTAGAGAAGAAGATACGTTTGCTGAGAGTTTTGCATGGGGAGTAGACGGAGATGATTGGGCTCTAGAAGAGAGGACTGTTTCACCAGGACGCGGCACCGGCTACCCCATCCCGCCCCACGTTAGGCACGAATTAGGGCGCCTCCCCATGACAGCTTACGAGCTTGAGCTTCTGCAAAACCAGGTGAAGTGATCTTAATTTTAGAAAAATTTACTGGAACAACATTGCTGCAATCAAGAACTCATTGTAACTTGTTAGCTTAAGTGAACTCAATATTAGTTACTTTTCAGTATAAGATCTATTTCTGTTTAATCCTGTGTGGGTTGTGGATATGTGTACATGCTAAAAGAAATGTTGGAGATCGTACTGCAATTTTTTTCAATGCTGGAAATGGACATTAAATTGTGCATCAAATAATTGTGGTGGGGATTGTGGACAGACTGGGCGTCCTACAATAATTCCTGGTGACTGGGCCGTGAATTTGCCCAGGGGAGAAGCGGTAGTCCGAGGCGACGAAGTTGAGGCGTGGCAGAGAGTGATGGCTCCAACTGGACCTCTTCCTGCGCTGCAGTCAGGACGTGTTTTGATGCAAGACCCTGGCTTTGATAAAAACTCTGATGCTACTCCTTCCTCGTTCAACACCGACAAACAGTTCGAGCTTATGAAAGACAAAAGCATGCGGTTCTTGCCAGATTTTGCCAATGACGAGAATCGTGAGCTCAACATCATGGTGCAGGAAGCTGAGCGGCAACTGCGAGAGGTTGAAGTGAGTTATTTGGAGCCATTAGACATTTCTTTCGTCTTGCCTATGTTGTTGCTGTGGCAGTCCTATTCCTGCTTCGCCAAATATCCCTGCTTTGGATTGCAGCAACACGACTTAGAACGCACGAAACTTTAGTCCTCACACCTCCAGTTTTGTGATCCAAGCCCTACAGGAAATTATCATGTTTCTGGTTAAATGCAGTGTTAATGAAAATTGAATACAGTATTTAGAGCATTGAATGCTTAAAGATTTTCTTGTATGGTGCTGAGCATGAGGCCTGTTTGATCACAGGACGCTACACAGGAGCAAGACGATCGAACCACTGTGATGGAGGATCATATGAAACAAGTTCAAGAGGAGATCACTGCGACTCAACAAAGAGTCGAGGCCAAGCGGAAAGAAATTCAAACGGAACAACACCTAATAACAATGACGACTTTTCAGACGGCAAGACTCAAGGTAAAACGTGTGCATTTACTAATCGACATGTTACTGGATCAGGAACCGATCAAATTGGTATATTAATTATGGTCATTTTCCACGGAAGTCAAATTTTGACTCGAAGGCGAAGGGTGGCATCTTCCGACACACCGTTGCTTAGTGAATTATCGTAACCATTTTGATCTTGTGCTGTGCAGAGGGAGGTTGGGAAAATGGAGAACGAGATGCATGAGATGATGGAGCGCTTACGGAACTTTCGTGCATCTATTCTACGAGGCAACGATAAACTGGATAAAATTCGCCAAATGCAAAATTGGAGCGTGGTTTAGTGACGTTTTTTTCGTTATTTCAATTATTTGTTGCAATTCTGCTGGCGACAACTTGATGATTTGTTTTTTCCACTTCGTTTTTCTCTCTCAGTGGTCAAAGTGATTACTAGATGCGGCTGCAACTACCTTCCTGACATACATGATATTTACGGTTTCAGATCATTTACGGATTATTGAATTTTAACTTGTGATTATGGTGACGCAGCAAGAGTTGGAACAATGGAAGCAAGCTGCACTGCAAAAGTATGAGGATTTTGTTGCTCTGGAAAGTTACCAGAAATATGATGACACCCGAATTAAGGCTCTGAGGTTGGACGAGGTCAAGGCATCAGGTGATTTGACTAGGGTTCGAAAACTGCTCGAGGCCGAGATGGCGGAAACCCACAGCTATCAAGTGCAACTTCATAAAACTGCGGTTGAATTCCGGTATGAACATGACATATGCCTTGTAAGAAGCATTGAACTTTTTCTGCAATCCAATTGAGCCAGCTTTCGAAAAGTGGGTGTTAGTGGGGCGGGGGTGTGGTAGTGGAGTCATTCTCTCATTCACCGAAACTCGACCACAACTTCAGAGTCTGAAAAGACTGTGGAATCCTTAAAGACTATATACTCTAGAAGATTTCCACTAACGTTGTTTTTGTGCATGAGACTACATTCTCTGCAAGAAATATCTATGTCTGCGCTTGAGGAAATAATGCAGTAAGGTAAGGCTGGAAAGTGTCAATTGCTGGTTGAAAACTCTTTTCTGCAGTACTCTCGATAGCGAATCTCAATATCTGTAAGGTCCGCCTCAGGCTTGGACCTTCTGAACCAAACTGAAAACCGGACGTGGATTGAAATATTACATTGTAAAGTGGCGAATGTCGGCTGCCTTCCTTCGATGTGGCATATTTGAAATAGAGAAAAATGCTGAATTTTTGGAAGTACTAGTGCCTTGGACTTCGTTCTAGTTCTTAGTTTCTTTTTTGCATGTATGGTCATGACCTTGAAAGTGGCTTGATAGGCAGTTGCATACAGAGAGGCAAGAGGTCATTAGACAGTGGGAGCGTACCATCGAAATGGTTCATACACGAGATAAAGACATTCATAGAATTACAGAGGATTTCGCCGCAAATCAGCAACTGATACGGAGGGAAAAGCGTATTCTCGACAATTGCGACCTGAAGCTCTACAATGCGTCAGAAAAGCGTGTAAAGTTTTCTCACTCTATTCTTGTGCCCATCTGCTTCAATCGTGCGATTACGAATCTCTGAAGGCCCAAAGATGAATAATCTTTGTCGCGGAGTGGATATTAGAAGTAACTTCTGATCTCCTCGGTCTCGTAGTTCGTGTCTGCAATGAGTTATTGACATTCATACCGAGGAATCCGCGGTTCGGACTGGGATAGCTTCAAATACTTGCAAGTGATTTATATTTTACTGCTTTTCAAACTGGACACTAACATGCTGAGCTGTACTCATTCATGTGTTCACAGGCGGACATGGAGAAGGACATCCATTCCAAGAATTTGGATGCTCAAAAACAGAAAGAATTTTTGAAACAGGAAATGGAGAAGTAAGATGCTTGTTCCCATTTTGAATTCGCATGGTTTTCATTCTTAAGATGTTCATAAATCAACCACATCTCTACTCGGTTAGTTCACATAAGATTACCAAAAAAATATGAAAACGTCTTTAGTTTGAAACGTGAACATTTTCGCACATGAACAGATTAAAAAGAGCCCGTGAAGCACTCGTGAATATCAAATCAGACCATTTTAGAAATCAACATCAATATGCAAAAGAAGTTGCGAAGAAAGCCTTTTTTCAAGAGGTAGGCGGACATGGTCCATAAAATTCTGTGCGTCTAGACCCGTGCCAGCTTGAATAACGATTAGCCTGAATTTACCTTTTCTTACAATGATAACTGTGATGCATGCACATATTTTTTGGTAATGAAGGAAGTCAAAAGGCAAAAGAAAATGTATCAAGAGGCGAGACAGCAATTAAAAGAGCTGAGAGAAAAAGTGGAAGATGAATATAGTCATTTGGATACACTAGAAAAACGAACCCATACACTCGAGAAATTGCTGCACACAGAAGAACTCAACTACAAGCTTGCTCAGAAAGAAGTTACCGATTTGCAAGAGCGACACTATAAAAACTCTCGCAAACTATTCTCATTAAGAGCTTCTGGTGTGTGCTTTGCCCACATATTTGCTTCGCACTGTCAAATAAACATTGCTTGATCATTTTACATCCACATTATATTCTCAGTTTGGTAGTTATCCGAAAATGTGTTCTTGTTCAACGATTAAGTTTTTGAATCATATACAATTTAGAAATTAGAACGGTACGATTGTGTATTGCTAACAGAGCGAGACACCATCCATGAAATCAAGGGAGGGAAGTCAATCGCCAAGACATTGGTGAACAGAATTGCAATCCTGGAGATAGAATTGTTAAAAAAAGAAGAGAAATTGTATGCTGCCGATTTCCAGATTCAGCTATTAGAAGGTAAAGTTGGCCGAGCAAGTGGTGAACGTAGTAACGCGGAGGAAATCGAAACTACACGACAGGTTAAGGAACTTGAAGCAGAGTTAGACTTATTGAAAAAGGAAGAACAGGCAATAAATGATCAAGTACGTGTTCTTATCTTTTACACTCTTCAGACGAGCGAATAAAAAGTATTTGTGTTGTTATTAGCAGAGACAATGTGAACAATCTTTAAAGAGACCGAGCTCCTCAAAATTGAGTATTGACCTATCTTAGTTTTTCATAGTCACACGTACTGAAGAAGCAAATCTCAGGTTACATATAGCAATGATGTTGTCCACGTCTTTGCTTCTGGTGTATGCTAGATCACTCGTTTCGCTGCTGACACCTTTCTTTTTAGAGCAGATGAAGAAGTCGGTAAACGAGATGCGCAAAAGTAGCCGTAGGAAAGAGGACCTTGAAACGAGGAAAAGAAAATTGAATGAAAAGAATGCGGAACTTAGTGTGGAGTGTGACGCAGGGATGATCGGGAACAAGGTGAAATACACGGGAATGCATATCCATCGTTTCTAAATTATCGTCTATCTTCTTTGTAAGAATTTGATGATCGTAATTTGAATGATTTAAACTTCTCTTTCTTGGCTCCATTTTGTGCCTAAATTTCTGGAGGTATTTTAGAGTGCAAGTTTTGAAGTGGGTTCCGTTGTCCATAATAGGCCATGACAAAAGAAAGAGAAGAGACGGCATTAGAAGATGATCTTTTGCAAATGGAAGTCCAAAGGTTAACTGACTTGTTACATTCAAAGGCTGGTGCGTTTTCTTACTTAAAAAGTTCTTCTATGGCTTGTCATGATCTTGTGCGTGTCTTCAGAGGTGGCAGTTTTTCTAACTCCACATGTGAAAAGTTTCATAGTCTCATAACCAAAACTGGTCTATTTATTATTGTGTGTCACAGATGAGGTATTTAATCTGGATCGCCTGAAGCAGCGTTTGAATAAAAATATGGAAGATCGAAAAGCGGAAGTAGATGCTCGTCAAGAAGTTCAACGCCGGGAAATGAAGATAATTGCTGAGGAACTTCACGATCTTAAGCTCAAGCGCCAAAACCTTGTACTGAAAATAGACAAGGTCTTGATTAACCAGTTAACTTCCATGTCGTAAACATTTGAAATAATGTTACTAAAATGATGGAAGCAGAATGTCTACCTAGATCCTCCCTTTTAAGTTTTTTGTATTGGTTGGAACTTCAGCTCCAGTGTAAGTATGATTGCCTCAGAGCACGCATGAAAACTAGTGATGGGGTGGAACTCACAGCCGAATTTTACTTGGATCAAATGAAGTCACAAAGAGAAGAGATTCAAAAAAAAGGCCTGGATCTCAGTGAAAAACTTAGAAAGGTGATAACCTTCTGTTTCCTCTTCAAGTGTTCACGAATCACAATTGACCATCATGCCCCATAAAAATTTGCCTAATAGAACTTTTACGAAAGCATTGGTCAAAATATTGCATCTCATTTAAATACTTTTGAGTGTCATTCAACAGTGTGAATATCTTGCTTAAACAGGCTCGGGTAGACGTCAACTTTCTGGAAAGTGCAGCGAAGCAGATCACAGATTCCAACAACAACCTCCGAACAAGTCTTACTGAGAATGAAAAAACTATTGAACTTGAAGAGGAGTCCGAGAAATTAAAGGGAGATCTCCAGAAATCAAGAGACCGAGCTCGGTTTAAACTGAGAGAAGAAAGGTCACTGCTACGTGTAAGCTTGAAAGTTTTTGAATTAGTGCGAGTCTGTCAATATGCACTTGAGTTTGATATCGGAGTATAACCAATCTTTGGTTTTTGAGCTCAGTTTTTTTACACACTCGATGAAACGTTACAAAGCTCAACCCATACAATCACCATGCAACCAATGTCGCAGGATTTGGTGGAGGTGGAAGTCAAAGTACAAAACAGAGAGGAGGAATTGAAAACCGCAAGCAATACTAGTGAAAATCTTGAATATAGAATTGAGCATGCTCGGAAGGGGATAGAGGAGCAAACAACAAAGCGCAAGAGAGCGGCTGCTCGTCTCAACCTCTTCATGAGGGAGCTTCGAGAGAGAGCTCCGTATGTTTTACATTGTTCCAGAAAATTAGCTCGACTAAAACCCGAAACAGAGACTAGAATTAAGCTCTTTAATGTTGATTGACGCCAGATGGGTCTTCTAGCATGATGACAAGTGAGAGTGCAAATGTTGTTTGAAATAGCTGTTTGGTGACACTCACTTACAGAGATGATTGTTGTGAATCAGGCCAGAGGAGGCCAAGCGAATCTGCGGCGAGTTTGTACTGTCAGAAACAAGAGAATCAGCAAAAGACGTGCTTCACAAACTGAAGCAACTAGGCATGGAGAATCCTGACTATGCTCAGATAATAGAGACGCGGGTTAACGCTGAGGGGTTCAAGCTACCAACAGGACCCGGAAGCACGAGGTCATCAGGGTCGTCTGGAGATTCGGTAGTTAGCCTTTCTAGCCGCATAGGGAAGGGAAAGTCGAAGTCGCCATCAAGGTTTATTGGAGATGCTTCCACATCCACCGTTTTCAACATGGAGTTCAAAGGATCTGGACCAAGCCCAAGATGATGATCTGCTCCACAATGATCTGTACATTCTATAATAATGATGTACCGTAGGACCAAAAATTGCCACTTTGCTTGACCTTATACTTACTGAACTTGGTCCAGATCCACCCATTTCACCTGCCACAGTTGATTCCGTTTAAATAATGAATTCTAATCGGGGAACCCGTGACCTGGTAGAGAAGCCCATCTAGCCAAGACAGCCTTAACACCAGGAAACGATAGCAAGTATTGGAACATGATTTGTTGAATTTTTCCAGTTAAAATACCGAAGTGCGAGTCCAACTGTTTACGAAGGGTTGGAGGAAGAAAGTGCCCTTGTCTGTATCACTAGAGCTCCAACAAAAACCTCTACAGCCAATTTCTGATCGAGCTGCTGCGCAATCATTCCCTGATAGAGTATACCAGATGCATGGACCTTACGGTCTCTAGGTCACCTTCCAGTCTTTGCTATATCCAAAAGACAATTGTTTAAAAAGAAAGTTTTTTTTGCCAAATAAAAAATATCCATTTAAATTTTACCTCATTACCTATCAACATAAGCTTCTAAATAAATAAATCCCCTTAGTCATCCTAATAAATTCACTAAATTTTTGAATAGTATTATAAAGATTGTACTATAAGCTAGGACTTGTCCAACATATAATTAAAGTTTGGCAAAGTGCCATCCATCTCTCTTTTGACTTATTTGTGTTTGTAATATAAGATGAATGTTGTTTTGTAATATGGTATCAAAGTGTGGATGAACAATAGTCATAAATGAATTATAAGTATAAAGCTTTACTATTCTAGTGCTATTAGAACTTTGTTCTATTTTCAATTGTTGTTGAATATTATTGGTGTTACTAGTGCTACTATTTTTTTAAATAAGTACAAGTACAACAATAGTATTTTAGATGTAATAGTATTTGATCTTAGTTATTTTAATACAATTAGTTTGAATTGTACTATATAGTTAGTAATGTAGATTGATAAATATTCTATTTACTATAGCCTTATATTTCATTAAACTAAAAACCATTTGCATATTTTTTATAAGGTTTAGAAAGAAAATGTATAAAAGAGAACCTAAAAAAAATTGAAATTTTTTTTCATTGATAAAAGCATTGAGTTCTTGAATTATAAGCTTGGTTTATACTTTAAGGCTAAAGACATTTGGTACATGATTACTCTTGTATATACACATGAAATTGCCAACGTTATAAAATGTATGATGCAGACAATCTTTAAAGAAATACAAATACTTCTAAACAATGCCAAGTTGAATTGTTGGTATTAGACATTGATGCCAAGTTTGTAACCTAGACTTGCAATTGCCTTCTATTTAAAAAATTTGGTAGTAAGATACCACATGAAGTTTTCTATGATAAAAAACCTTCTATTAAATATGCTTGTCATTTTAGTTGTCATACTTGATATCACATATCAAATGAAAAGCATTAAAAACTTGATACAAAGACAAAAAAAAAGTATTTTTATTAGATATTTAAATGTGAAAAAAAGACAGAAGATTTTTTTACTTAAGAAAAAAAAGATGATTTGTAGCCAAGATGTGGTTTTCTTTGATGACAAGAATGAGTTGCTTGGTGAGCTATTGTCTTATCAAGAGATAAATTGAAAAAATGGAGATTATGAAAATAAGTTTGATTTGTTTGATCTTTAATATCCAAATAGGTTAGAAACATCCAAATTTCAAGCCTTGAGATTACATGTATATAATAGAAAATATAAAAAAAAAAAAATTATTGAGAGACAAGCTATATATAAATAAAAATATTGAGGCTCTATTGGCCAAAATCTCTACTATAGAGACATTGTTATGTAGGTGGAATTGACTCAATAAATATCACAAGTGATAGCAAGATGCATTATATGCCTTGTCTTTATAATAATTTTATTTGTAAAAATTATGATTTCTAAATTGAAACAATTTATGTTGTCTATGCCAATAAATAAGTAGAATTAAATATTCTTAAGCAAGCCATAACTTCACCAATTAACAAACAATAGAGTGATGCTTTGAAAGAAGAACTTAATTCCTTAAGAGATCATGGCATTTGAAAATTTTCATCAATACTAGATGGTAAGAAGGCTCTATATTTGAAATGGATTTTTTAAAAAAAAAACTTGCTAACAATGATTCTATTGAATAATTTAAAATATTCTTGATTGTAAGAAATTTTACTTAAATAAAGGATCTTGATTACTATAAGATGTTTAAATTAGCTACCTATATTGCAATAATTTTCATATTTATTGTAATTGCTATTATCTTTGATTAGAATATGTTGCAACTTAATGTTAACTCAGCTTATTTAAATGGTAAATTTAAGAAAGATGTATATAACGATTCCAAAAGATCTAAAAATTCTACTTGAATATAAAAGTAAGAACTTACAATTATTAAAAAACTTCTATGATTTAAAGTAATCCAAGTACACATAGAATGATAGTCTTAGTGCATCTTTGTTGAGTCTTGATTGAAAGTGTTTAAAGTTAGATCCTTATTTTTATACAATATATATTAAAGAATTAGTCCTTCTATTGATTATTTTTATTGATAATATATTGATTGGTGGAAAAAACTTTGAGATCCTTATGAATTATAAAGATGAATTGCAAGAATGCTACAGAATGAAAGACCTCCATAAATTCAATCATTTATTTTATATTGATTTTTTATAAGAAAAAAATAGTAATATTTTTAATTTGAACTAAATTAAATATGTTTGTGAAAAGTTGGAAGAATTTGAAATAAAAGATACAAAAGTAATTACAATACTAATGATATAAGATCATTTCATTAAGTATGAAAATGAAAAACCTTTGGATGCACAATATATAAAATTTTACTAGAAAGCTTTAGATTTGCAATTTTATCTTATAAATGGTACAAGATACAAAATTATATTTTCTTGCCAATACTTTCTTCAATACATAACACACCTATATGTTTTACAATAGCAAAGGATCAAGAAAATATTTTATTACTTGCAAAAAAAAAAAGATTTGATGTTAGAATATTGAGGCAAAAGAAATAGTTTACAACTTATAGACTATAATGATGAAAATGGAGTAAGTTGTTTAAAAAGGATTTATTTAATAAATAGTTATGCATTCATATTGGATGGCACAATTTTTCCTTGGTCAAATAAGAAATAATGATCAATTTTTTGTTTTGTCAAAAGATGAAGAGTATATACCTTTAGTTGTTGTAATAAGGAAGATTTTATAGCTTTATAAAGTAAAAAAGGATTTTTACATTTGTGAGCAATAAAAGATCTTTATTTATAAGAATAATTAAAAGAATAATGGAATTGTCAAGAATCTAGCACGCCATGATTGTACAAAGAATTAGGATACAAAACATCATTTTATTAGGCAATGTATAGAAAAAAGATAGATTAGATTGAAATATTATCTCATGAAGCAGATGGTGGCAAATACCTTCACAAGATCTCTTCTTAGGGATACATTTCTAGCTTTTAGAGATATATAAGGCCTAATTTTAATAAAGAACTAACTTCTATTTTTAAAAGAAAATTACTAAAAAGTATTATAAAGATTATATTACAAATTGTAACTTATCTAATATACAATCAAAGTTCAACAAAAAAAAATCTTCCCTTTTTGATTTATTTTTGTTTACAACATAAGATAAATGATGTTTTTTAATATAAACAAATATTTAGAAGATTCTTATTAACAATATTACCAAATTAATAATAGAATCAGGTGTGAATTATGGCATCTTCTCAGTACTATAGTGCCTCTATTTTCTAATTTTTTTGCAAAGTTTTTAGGTATTAATTCTAATTCTACAATATAGTAATTTCAATACAATCTCATATTTTTTTAATAAGAGTGGAATATTGTCATTTCGTAGTTTTAGAGTGGCATTATAAGTTTTAATATGGTGCCTTAGACAAATATTCAATTGATAGTTATATCTTTTCTTATTAGAAATCACCAATTCTTCTTCCATATTGTAGAATTATAGCAATTTTTATATGGACCATCAACAGCTATCACAAGAACTATTAGCTTATTGAGGTTTTTTTTTTTTTTTTTTTTTTTTTTTTTCTAATTTTGTTTAAAGTTGGCACTTCTTGCCTTAAGTTTTGACATTTCAAGAATTCAGATTGAAGGACTATTAAAAAATATGATGAATCAAGCAATTATATAAGTACAAATATAGAGTTTGATGATTAAATGGTAAAAAGAAAAGAAATTTTGAATTAATAATCAATCCACTAATTGAAACTTTACTTTGGCATACTTTTGTATTGTAGAAAAAGTTGGACGAAGATGTCATATGATTGTTGCATCAATAAGGTGAACACACTAAGGTCCATATTTTATCTCTTTTTGCTTGTTGATTTCTAGTTATCTTGAAATTTTTTCTTATTTTTTGATTAAAAGAAGTAACAACTTCTTCATACATTTATATCTAATAATAAAAGTTAAATTTTTATTATTTCTTAATATCTTAAATAGAGTTACTCCACTCATTAATTATGTTATCTTAATTGTATGCATCATTAAATTGAAACATGGTTATAACATTCACAAGATTTAATTAATTGTGACTTAAGAGATTAAAACCTAGAGCCCTTATAAGATAGCTTTAGCTATCACATATCTCATGTATGGTTTTTAGTGTAATTTTTTAAAATTTTATATTTACTATGATACTTCAAGAAGTGCTTTAATGTAGAGTAATTAAAGAAGATTACAAAATTATATCTAAGTTACAATAACAATAATAATATATTTTATGATGAACAATTCTATGATTTTAGAGAGCTATCTTACATATCTAGAAAAATCAATTTTGATAGCATAAATTTAAGATTTTAAAAAAGACTTGATAAAAATATAAAAAATAGATGATAAAAATGATATTGATGCAACTTTTGATTACATGGTATCAAAGACATGAATTATAAGTAACAAAAAATCAATATATTCGTATGTCATTAGAAAAGAATAGATATTTAGTCGTAAATAGAATGTATACTATAGTATTATCTATATATTTATTTAATAAGAATAATTAATATTTTTATTACTCTTGTTACAAATACTATAGTATTAATATTAGAATGGCTATTACCAAAGATGAGAAGACAAGGCGCTATTGAAATAAAACTAAGAATAAAAAAAACTTGATAAGAATAAAAAAAAACTTTGTTCTTGCTTCTATATATACTCTCTAAATAGAAGATATATGGCAGTATTTTATAAGTCCTCCAATATGTGTCCAACTTGTAGGATATGTATGTAATTTGCAAAAACAGTTTCTATATGTATACCACATAGCCAATTAATACTATAAGTCACCAACATTTTTTATACATGGCCAACTTGTTGGCTAATTTGTCAAACTATCAATTAATCATATCAATTAGATACATATAAATTCAAATCCATATCTATGAAATTTTTAAGAAGTTTTTTTATAGGATATTATCAAATTTACTTATTTCTATTTATTTCTATTTAATTCCTCTTATTGAAGTAAATATA